TCAAGCCCATAGCTCCCGTGAATACCACGCTCTTATTCATTTAATTCATCAGAAAAACGAGTTTTTTCTGAGAAATCTTATTTAATCGATAAGAAAATTTTTTTAACGTGTTCTATAGTTACTATTATTTATTTCAATATGCTTTTTATTCATAATTTTTTTTGTTTAAATTATAAAAATCACGTTTTAATTGAAATTACGATTTTTAGGCGAGAGTAGAGCATACCTGCGCGCTTCGCGCTTAAGGCATGCAATTCACGTTGTTAATTGATTAATTTGTGTATTGATAATAATAGTAGACTTAATAAACTATCATTCCAAGAAAAAAAAAATTATTATTTAGTTTTAATTCGAATAGTAAAAAATTACTAAACTTTTTTTGGTTCAATTGACCCCCTTCTCCCCTACTAAAATTGCATTTCAAGAGTGGTTTAATTATAGAATCACAGAGTTGATACAAAAACTGTACCACTGCAGTCATATGTGGTGTTACTGTCATATCACTTTTTGGTGCTTGCGTAAGCCAAGTGTAGTTTTCAGTTCTAGTAGAAGTTATATCTACGTTGCTTACATTTATATTTTTCATAATTATTCTTAAAATAATAATGAATGTGTAGTAGTCTTTTCGCAAAATTCGTCATTTCATGAAATACCTAGGGACTTCCAGGAAGCGTCGGCGTTTAGTGAAAAATATTTAAATTGCATTATCAGCCTAGCCCTTGTAGCAATTTGGTAAAAGCCTTGTGCCAGCATGGATCAAGATACTTTAGAATGATGTTAGATCAAGAATTGGTCCAGATTCTTGACAAAGATTATTAGTCAAGACTTGAGCCAGACTGTAGTCAGAATTTGTCAAGAATTCGACCAGAAATCTGGGGTCATCTATTGCTAAAGTTTGAGACTATACTATAGAGTAGAAGTTCTCATTCTGTTAAAAAATATTTTACTATTTCTTGAGGTAATTCAACTTTTTACATATCGTAGCAAGCTAAATTAATGTTTTAAACTTGTTGACTAGACTATAAATGAAAACCACTGCAATACTATACTTTTCACATTCAAATGGAAAGGAGGGAAATAGGTGCGCGCTCGTCGTTTTTTGCGTTTCTCGCGCAAGTCTATGTCAGGACTCTACTGGGCCAAGAATTTGGTCAAATTCTGGGCACAGACTGTCCTAAGTCTGCCGCCAGTCTGGATGAAGAATTTTGATCAAGTGTCTTAGTCGAGAATTGTCCAATTCTTTACAAAGTGCTTCTCCAAGTATCTTGCCCAATTCCATTGCTACTAGGGTTATACTTCGTGGCACGTTGAATAAAGAGAAAAGAATTAATAATATTAAAAAATGGAAGGAATAAAAGCGAATAAAGATTTATTTGTAGAAAAATATAACGAATATTATGGAAAACGATTGGCCACAACTGCACGTCGTTCACGGCAGACCTCGACATCCGCAAAGTCAGGGTAGTGTAGAAAGAGCTATCAAGATATCAAGATATCGAAAATATGTTTTGCGCGGGGATGATTGACAATAAATCAACTTCTTGGTCTATTGGATGTCATTTTATTCAGTGGCAAAAAAATAATTCGCTGCACCGAGTAATCGGGAGAAGCCCGTTCGAGGCAGTTTTTGGCACTGATCCTAAATTAGGTCTCGCTTCAACAATTCTTCCTCAACATTTGTTGCCACCAGTGACTACAGAGGAAGAACGAGACAAATTAACACTTGAAATTAATTCCAATGACTTGATGATGCCAGACGATTTGCAACAGGAGTTGAACGAAGCAGAATCAATCGATGCTAATGAATTAAATGATGTTAATAATAATCAAAGTGTAGATGAGATATGGAATTTAGTTGATGCTGTGAGGATGAAAATACCGGAAATTTGCATTACTTGTCAAAAAAAATTAGGAAAACGTTGACCCTAAAGGCCATCCCTGCAACTTCCCGCCAATTCTATACCTAAACGCTTGAAATTGCACTTATGACGTTTTAGAGCTCTTCGAGCTCATAAATACAATTTGTGTATTATTTTGAGCTCTCCGAGCTCAAAAAATAGCTTTTGGATGCATTTGAGCTCTTCGAGCTCTAAAGTTTGATACAAGTTTATTAAAATAACACTATTTTTTTAATTTTCAAATCGCAATAACTTTTGAATGAACTAACCGATTTTCACGCGGTTGGTGGCATTCGACGCAGTTTTTCAAGTTTCATAGAGAATCACACACACACACACACCAATTCTGTGGAATGTCATGTATGTCGGCCTGCTGAGACTGACTCTACCAAGAAGTGTCAAGCTTGTTGCATACGCAGACGATGTAGCTGTCGTAATCGTTGCGAAACACCTAGATGAGATAAACCACATGTTTAGTATCACCTTTGAGAAAGTTAACCGGTGGATGGATTCAATGAATCTACAACTGGCTAAACAGAAGACTGAGGCTGTGCTTATTTCCAGCAGAAAAGTGATAGAGACCATAAAACTGAAAGTCGGAGAACAAGAAATCACATCACAACCATATATCCGATATCTGGGAGTGATGCTTGATGCCCGACTCAACTTTAAGCAGCAAGACGAACACGTGAGTGCAAAAGCATCAGCAGCGGTAGCTAGCTTAGCACGGCTGATGCCAAACATCGGAGGCCCAAAGCAGAGCAGAAGACCACTACTATCATCTGTAATCACATCAGCGCTCACTTACGGAATATCTATCTGGACGGACGCACTAGAAAAGCAAGAATCATGGAGAAAGCTGGACCAGTATATCGTCTGAGTGCCATAAGAGTAGCTTGCGCCTTCCGCACAATATCTAAGGAAGCAGTGTGCGTCATTTCTGGAACTCTACCTCTCAAAGTCCTAGCTGAAGAAAGACGGAACCTTACCAACGAAAGAGGTCAACAACACTGAGCGCAGAAGAACTCAGAACGAAACAAAGACAGCACAGCATCGCACGATGGCAACAGAGTTGCAAAAATCTTAATGTAAAAAATAATCCAATAATCATTACTTTTTTTAATGGTAATGTAATTTTTATCCATTACTCATCAAAAAAAAAATTTTAATGTAAAATATTTACATTACTCATTAAATAATTAATGTGTAATTTGTGGTCTTCCATTACTCATTGGAAAAAAAAATGAATAATGAAAGATCATACATTACTCATTAAAATCGTAATGAGTAATTATTGGTCCTTCATTATCCATTAAATGTCAAAAAAAAAACACACACACACACACACACACACACACACACACACACACACACACACACACACACACACACACACATACATACATACATACATACATACATACAGACACGATCGCGGGAATAGTCAGTGAAGCTTCTTAGGACCTCGAAACGTCGAGATTCGATGAAAACTCGATTTTCGTAAAACAGGGTGAAAACAATAACTTCCCAATTTTTGAAAATCTTCGATTTTCTTAGTGGGAAGTTAAAAATTTATGTGATGATGACCAAAGTTATCGTTGCCAAACATGTTCGATGCCGATTCATTAGTCATGTACACGAGAGAATGGATTATGTGATTTTTGCATTACAACAGAAACTATTTTCTCTAACTAAATTCAATGATACCATGGAATAAAAGTTCAAGCGGAAAAAATGATAACTGTTGCAATAAAAATATTACTGGATATTTCTGTTGGTGACTGCGTGCCAGTCAACGTGGATAAAGTGGATAGGAGTTCAGGAGATCCACAAAATATTATCGCAGTAATAACTGATTTTAAAAATGGTGGGTGTCAAGTTGACACTGTCGCAGGGCTGATAAAATCTTGGTTCAGCAAAAGTGATCTCAAGAAAGCGTCATCTACTTTTATCAAAATTGATCAAGTGAACCAAAGTACATTTATTTCGCTTAGAGAAGCAGTTGCTGCACTGTCGCTATTCAACGGACAAGGTTTCGTAAAGTGTTCATGTCAACTGTCTAAAACTCAGTGTAAAACTAATCGATGTTTGTGCTTTAAATCAAAACAGCTATGTAACTCGAGATGTCATAAAAGTGGACCATGTGCAAATAAGTAAGAAATGTGAATATGATTACCAGATTACTAGACGAAATAACGTTGTTATTTATATTTATTTATATTTAATATGTTATACACAATATATTTTAATAATTCGAATAAAAAAGAATCATATTTCTAAATTTTACGGTTTTCCTTCTATTTGCGGAAAAGCCCAACTGTACTATGCGTCTGATTATGTATCTTGACTTTAAACACGAGTTGCCGGCGCCCAGTCATCATTTCATGAACTACCTAGGCTGATAATGCAATTTAAATATTTTTCACTAAACGCCGATGCTTCTGGAAGTGCTTAGGTATTTCATGAAATGACGGACTTTGCGAAAAGACTACGACAAATACATAAGAAATTTGTAACTTATGATTTTGTGCATTGAAAATTAAAAAAATATTCAATAGAAATACCAGTCAAAGATTTTTATCTTCGCGTATTTACTGTTGATTATAACTGGCTAGAGTATAGAAGCCGTCATATAAGTTCCACTTAAAAAATATATTAGATTCAGATTTCGCATCATTGTACGGTGTAACTTTAGAACCACCTCAGTTGACATCATCAGTGGTAGAATTTTTGTATCACCTGATGCGATTTTTACATCACTTTTTTTCCGTGTGTTTTAGGTGATGTAGTTTGCCGCGATTTGTTCTTCGATAAAACGGACAATTTTGGAGGATATATCGCAAAAATCGGTGCTCAATACGTTGTACCATACATTTCTTATTCAACCGAAAACGGAGTTAAGCGACTCGAAGGCTTCGATTATGAAATAGTCAAATTGCTGTTCGGTAAATTGAACATAATAATATCATTTGGAGAAAAGGATATTGTAATTTTGAAAACGTATAACAAGGAAATCAGCCAATATTTGTTGATGCAATTAGAGAACAGAACTATTGATTTCGCAGTAAATTCCATAGTTTTAAGAGGTTATCCTAACCAACTTGAAGTAACTTACGTATTCTATCAAACAGGATTAAGTGTTATTACTCAGTATCGTGAAATAAAAAAAATCGTGAGTTACCTGTTCAGTTTTTTGCCCTTTCATGTAATAGCAATGCTTTTCATTACAAGTATCGTCATATTCTTTTTACTGCAATACTTATTGCGAGATCCATATTCGCGAAATTTAATAGACATTCTGCGGGTTTTTCTGAATTTACCTATACCCACATTGCCGTCAACCATCCGCGGAAGAATACTTTTCGGGATAACATTGATAAGCTTTACTGTCGCTAACATGGTAATTCAATCACACATGAATACAGTCTTGGTTTCAAGTAATGCCGCTCAGAATGTTGAAGATTTGAACGACTTGATTCATTTAAACTACCGTGTTTATACTCGTGGAAAAATAGGAGATGATCTAAAAAATGCAGGTGTGTCAAAGATTGTAGAAGTTCAGAGTATTATAAATTGCTCTAAACTAGAAGAAAAGGAGGCTTTTGCATCAAAAGAAATTTCTCTTCTGCCGATGAGAAATGAAAACTGTCATATACCTCGAAAACCAATCATACCCGGAAAGTTTCTTGTTTACTACATGCGTCGTAATTGGCCGATATTTCCTAGAATTAATAAGAGATTGTTGATGCTATTTGAAGGTGGCTTAACCAACTATCATATAGAAAAAATCTTGGAAAAATACCAACAGCTCGTTCAGGAACCTGATCAGTATCAAGTAATTACGATGAATCACATGGAACATACTTTTTACGTTTTCATAATTTTGAATTTTATTTCTATGATCGTATTTGCTATAGAATTGTTTATTGCACGGCTTTCAAATTTGATTTACAGAATTTTTGAACATTTTATGTAATGTTGATTTATTTTCATACATATAATTTATTCAATATATTTGCGGCTATTACGTCTATAAGTGTGGTATATGTTTTGCACCTAGGATTTACAGAATAACAATGTTTCGCGTGTTGTTGAATAAATAATTTGTCATGTTTTAACCTTGGTAATTATTGTTAATCGATATTATGATAGCATAGTACTTCCTAGCGTTAGCCATTCAAATTATCTCTGACTATAATGTCTATGTCATTTCGTCTTGTCAAAATAGTTTAATTTCGTTAATGACAATACTTAAATTAAGTTTGTGTTTTTTTTTTTTAGACTTGATATTAGTCGGCTAAGATTTTCTAAGACCAAAGTGTTATGAGATGTTTTTATCTGAGCTCTTATTTTTCATATAAAATCACATGGATCTGTACCTAACACTATAAATTTTCAAATGAAAACAAATTTCTATTACTCTTGTAAAGTATTTTTGGCCTAGTTAAAAAATATTAATTCAATGTAAATCTTTATATCGCGTGACAAATGCCAGAAAGGCGTATCTCAATATATACGCTTTTTTGGCTTTAGAAACTTGAAAAATTTGTGATCTAAAGAAAAAAATTTGGTAATTTTCGAGAATTTCAAATAGAGTTAAATAAAACTAAAAAAATGTTTTTTCCATTTCATCAAAATTACAAAAAAAAAGTTTTTTTCGTTGATCATTTTGCCGTTCTTTGTAGTTTAATTTTTGATTTTTCCTATTTATTATGATATTGCTTAATTGATAGAGCATTATTTCCATGTTTTGTAATGAAAAACATAATTTATTTTACACGTCCTTTTGGCTTTTTAAGAAAAATTTTCCTAAAGCCAAAAGGGCATCTACTTTTGAAATACGCCCTTTTGGTATTAGTAGCTCAAAATTTTTTTTTGCTGATCTTTTTGGACGAATTCAAGTTAATTGGCAAAATAAATTTTTTTTGTACGTCCTTTTGGTACAAAGGCCTATCTTACTGTAGGAGTACGCCCTTTCGGCACTTGTCACGCGATATAATCCAGTCAGAATTTCACTCTGTTAAAAATTTCAATAAATCATTTTTGTAAAACCAAATTCTTCTTTGTATTGTTTTAATTCATAATTAATAATATGCTCTAGCTTGGTAGAATGCAGTTGCTATGAACTGGTAAGGTAAATACAGCATTAACAGTATGTAATAGACTAATTAAAATTAAAGTTATAATAAAAAGTAACGCCTTTACTATTGTATGAACGCATGCATCGTCTTGTTGTATTCCTACCACTTAGTACCTTGGACAATAAATTATAGCAAATAACCCCAGTGGATCGAATGCAACTTATTGCACATTGGCAGCTTATTATATTCTTCAGCATTTGAATTTACAATATCGAAGATTCGAATGAATTGAACGAATTGAACTATACTATTCTTGCTCGGGCATTTTTGCACTCAACCTTGAAAAGCTTCGGCCTCAGTTTTTTCACGTTTCATTTCAATTCTAAAAGATTATGGATGTGAAATTTAGAGAAGACACATTTTTGCAGAAGGTTTATTTATTTTCAACATTTAAATCACATCTTAAGGCCAACTTGTTTTCTTTATTCTCGACTTTTGTTATCTTGATTCGCACGTGAATTTAATGAATCAATTGGAATTGAATAACTTGAGGCAAGATTAAAATTTTGAAGAATGCATTTTTCTCGAATTAAGAAGCTTGTTTGTTTGGTGTATAAATTACATTAATCAATATAGGATTTGTTATTAATCGAGAAACAGTGTGAAAATGTGAACCAGTTTGTTGTTTGTCATGAATAAATAAAGGAATAGTAATAATTAGTCTCGGAAATATCTTTTAAAGTAGTTACTTTTATACGTATAGTTCTGCCAGACTTAACAATTCATTAAATATACAGTGCACTAATGTTGCAATAATGCTGCACTGTGCTACAGCTGCTAGTGGCGAACTTCAGAATGCACCCAATTCGCAAGAAAAAGAAATATTATATTAAAAATTCAAACCTCGCGCTTATATTTTCTGAGCATTTATGCAACCTATTGCGTTTATGTTCAGCACTTATTGCTTCTACGATTATTCACTTTAGCCCTTAAAGAAAATTAATAGTTTAATTATTCATTGAATCGAGATATTAAAAAATTAAAAATTAATGATAACTAGTTACGAAAGTATTCTCAGGGTTGCATAAAAAACAACTTGCAGAATTTATGAACCTAGTCATAAGTTTTTGCTGCACTGAGCATATTTCTGTCAAGGTGTTAGTAAGTTTTATTGTCTACTCCAACAATGGTAATGACATTATTGTGTCGTATAATTACTGGGTTTTTTAAATTTATCCGATCGGTGTCTTTTTACAATATGAGTACACCTTCAATGAAAACGGATCCACAGATCTATTTGATGGTAATTAAAGAATACTCTTTACTCGGATCTAAATTGTTGCTTATCACTAACGTAATAAATCATTTCGATTTCAGGTAAACTTAACTGAACATTGCTTTCCTGACATTAAAGCAAGTATTTTGATAACTGATTTTCCAAGCAATTCACTATCGCATGATCTCTTTACTACCCGGGTCAAAAAATTTAGTCTGTTTTATGATTAATAAAATTTTTTAATATTTTTCATTCAATTTAATTTCATTATGTGTATCTATTTTATATGAGAATTTAATCTGTTTTTGCCCAGTTATTGACAAAAAATTATAAGTCACCATCTTAGTCGACTTTTATCCTTCGAACATTTAGAGTGAAATTTTTAGATCAAAAACAGTATAAGATTTCATATTAAATTCGAAAACAATACATAAAATCCATCTACAAATTAACTAGACTGAAAACCGATCAAACTTTTAAAACTTTTTAGTTTCATTAGATTAGAAACAGCATGAAATATTCATAGCTGCTCAATTATTTTACTAAAAAGTTATTTAGACTTAAAACCGATCAAAAATAATTTGAATAGTAGATCAAATACAGATGAAAATGTTTTTAAAAGTTCAAGTACAGATCAATAAGTTCAAATGCAGATGATTTAGCTTAAAATCAGTTTAAATTTTTCGACCCGGGTACTGCTGCTATCTTCCGCGGATAGGTCTTCTGCCTTATTAGTATAAAAGTTATACTTTTGAGCTCGATGAGCTCAGAACTTCGAAATAGACGATTTCTCGAGCGTTTTGAATTTGGACATAGCGGTAAGTTCTAGAGATGGCCTCCCGGGTCGAAAAATTTAAACTGATTTTAAGCTAAATGATCTGAATTTGAACTTATTGGCCTGTATTTGAACTTTTAAAGACATTTTCATCTGTATTTGATCTGCTATTCAAATTATTTTTGATCGGTTTTAAGTCTAAATAACTTTTTAGTAAAATAATTGAGCAGCTATGAATATTTTATACTGTTTCTAATCTAATGAGACTAAAAAGTTTTAAAAATTTGATCGGTTTTTAGTCTAGTTAATTTGTAGATAGATTTTATGTATTGTTTTCGAATTTAATATGAAATCTTATAGTGTTTTTGATCTACAATTTTCTCTAAATGTACGAAGGCCAAAAATCGACTAAGATGGTGACTTATAATTTTTTTGACTCAAAAGTATCTCATTAAAAATTATAAGTCGCATTTATTTGAAAAATTAAATTAATTTAAAATATATTCATGCGCTCTCTTGTTTTATAAACTGAACGTCGATTATAACCTTACATCTGTCATATTTATTTGTCATAGCTTAACATTTTATGGATTATAAAAGTTTTGTAACTGCGAATATTAGTTGCAGTGATAACTAATAAATTTGTATTAACATATGTATAGAAAATAGTTCTCATCGTTTTATTATGGATCTAAATCTAGAATTTTCTAATTATCGATATTAAACACAATGTGAATACATCGACGAGATTAAAATGCTGTCAAGATGCCAAGATTAATATTAAATTTAATACCTCCATGCATCATTTAATGAGCGGTATTCACTATTTGGTAGTGCGAAGAATACCGTTTGGTATATATTGCACTACGAAATAGTGAATGGTCACTATTTCAGTTTCAGAGAATGAAAAGCCGTGCCCTGTAGAGGATCTTCGAGGACATTGAGGACATGAATAAAATAATAATATATAAATATATTATTATTATTATTATTATTATTATTAATATTATTATTATCAAATTCGTAAAAGGTCGGTTTTTGATCTACAGGCGATGAAAAACCGACTAAAAATTATGAAACGTTTCGGTCTGTTTTTGATCTTGATGCGATCAAAACCAGCTAAATGATTGTGACAAAAAAGTCTGATTTTGGTCTTGAAACAATAGAAAACAATTTTATTATAACATCAAAAATGATCTGAAATTGGTCTGAATTGTGAATAGTACGGGCAAAAACAGATTAAATTCTCATATAAAATAGATACACATAATGAAATTAAATTGAATGAAAAATATTAAAAAATTTTATTAATCATAAAACAGACTAAATTTTTTGACCCGGGCTGCAGGGTCAACCGTTTTCCAGATTTTTTTATTTTAAACTAAGAGGATAAATAGCAACAAAATTTTAAGAATTTTTGATAAAAAATTATAAGTCTACCACAACGAACAAAATTTAAAAAAAATGTGCCATTCAACAGGCTAAATGGGAGAAGACTGAGAAGCTAAAAGAAATCAGTATGTCGAGAAAACGATAGGTATCAAGTAGTAACTTTGGATCATTTCAAATACGTTTTTTACGTTCTGATAGTCGATATGTTTTCTTCTATAATTTTTTTTTGGCATAGAACTATGTATACCGCGATTATCTCGTAAGTTAGACGAAATTTTTGATTTTATCAACTGATGTCAATTCTTCCTCTGTATGAGGAGTGCATGCGATAAAGTTCAGGGGTGAATAGATGATGTTTATTAGATTCCATACATGCTCAGTTCCACAATTCACGATATCACGACATATATTGAGTTGAGTAGATACATAATTTATCGGTTTTACATCGATAATTACCATAAATTCTTTGAAAACACCAGAAAGTCACTAATAACTTGTATCAATTCAATTAATGAATGACGCAATGAGATCGTATTTGTAATAATGATTTACTTTATCAATGCGATTAAAGTTTGAATGTAAAGTAACAAGTTTTTAATTTTCGAAAGTAGATTTCAATTGACCAAAATTTTAAATTTCTTCTCTTAAATTCTGTAAGTTTTATGAAACAAAATTTTGACACTGCACTCATTTCCTGTTGAATTGTAAAAAGGGAACCACCCGTAAACTATAGTGAAGTGTTTTTACAAAGTACATATGTTGATATTAGTAAATTAATTAGGTACTGAAGTTATTTTTCAGCTTGCATGACAATCTATAAATCTGCATACATTAACATATCTAGCCTTCAAATATCACTTCAGTAAGCATAGTGCCGTCAGAGTGTCAGCAAGTTTTATTCTTTACTTCAGCAATGGCAGTGAAATTATTGTGTTGTATAATTATTGTGTTTTTTGAATTTATCCATTCGGTGGCTTCTTATGATATGAGTACACCTTCAATGAAAACGGATCCACGGATCTATTTGATGGTAAAGAATACTCTTTACTCGGATCTATATTGTTGCTCATCACTAACGTAAATCATTTCGACTTCAGGTAAACTTAACTGAACATTGTTTTTCTGACATTAAAGCAAGTGTTTTGATAACTGATTTTCCAAGCAATGCACTATTGTATGATCTCTTCACTAGTATGACTCAGTCTGTATCATTTCTCGATAAATCAAGAAACTACAACATTCCGACTAATCAAAACACGCCGATCCCTTGGATAATTTTGGTATTGACATCACCCATAAAGTTCAAGGACGTTCTCGACAAAGAGGCGTGGCGAGATTTCAACCAGTTCTTCATAATCCTAGATGGAGGCGACACCAACAATGGATGCGTCAATGCTCACTCATTCTTGATGGAAGCCTGGGAAAACGACATACTCAATGTGGTTTTTTTGTGCGTGGATCATCGAAATCAGGCCTCAAAATTATTCAGTTTCAATCCCTTTACTAGTTCAGTTCCAATGTCTTGGGAGAAAGTTTCAGTGGTTCCAGCAATTAATGGCCATCCGTGGACTCTGCTGAGCAGAAACTTCAACCCTGGTAAGTGAAGACTCATAGAATAGCTTAGAATTAATTATTAATACAAGAGAAAGCGGAGACAAATTTAATTTTGTCAATTGATTTCATACCAGATGCAGGATGCAGGGATATATTCTTCACTAAAGTTAAAAATCTAGGTGGATATCACATCAAAGCTGGATATTTTCTACTTCCTCCCTACGTTTATTCTAATAAAGTCAACGGGGTCGCAGTATTGACTGGTGACGACTACAAAGTTATGCAAGTTCTAACAAACAAATTAAATGCAACTTTAGTATACAAAGATAAAAGTGCTGAGTACTGGCGGCCGTCTGCCAACAAAAATGGAAATTTGTTTACATGGGAAGAATTTCATCATAAGACATTAGATTTTAGAATAAATATATTTTTTTTGAAAGTTCCAAGTATAAAATTCGAATGTATGTATTCGTTTCACGCGGCAAAAGCTACTGTTATCACAAAGTATTGTGAGTTTACGGCATTTGGGGGACACATATTTACTTTTCTTCCGTTATCAATCGCAGCACTTTTCTTAGTCACAAGTCTCTTCGTATTCATGCTTCTTCGGTACATATTCAAAGATCCATACTCACGAGACTTCATAGACATTTTTCGCGTTTACTTGAATTTACCATTGCCTCGATCACCAATCTTGACTCGCGGGCGGATTGTTTTCGGTGTTACTTTGGTTAGCTTTACTGTTTCCAATATTGTCATTCAGTCTCATATGAACATGGTAATGGCGTCTAAAAATGTCGCTCGTAACGTTGAGACTATTGGAGATTTTATTGAATTAAACTACACTGTACTTGCAACTTCACCCTATCTCATCGATGAACTAAAAGCTTCCGGTATAAAAAATGTATTGCGTCCCAAGGATTTGAATTGCTCAAATTTAAAGAATAATGAAGCAGTAGTCGCCTCTGATATTGTTATTCACTCAATGATGGCGAAGGGGTGCTACGTACCAAAACAGCCATTTTTAACAGGGGCACTCTTAACATATCACACACGCCGAAATTTTCCTATTTTTCCAAAGTTAAATCATAACTTAATCATGTTATTTGAAAGTGGGTTCACGGAACCTCGTTTAGGGCATCCGAAGAGTGATAAACAAGAATCGGTTGAATATGAGGTGATCACCATGGCTCACATGGAGTATGTATTTTATGCCTACATGATTTTTAATTTCTTCTCACTTATAGTCTTTATTGTCGAGGCATACATATTACACGATTAATATATGTTCATGCGTATTCTTTCAAATAAAGATAAATTATCTTATCTAAAGTTAATGGATAAAATATTAATTATATTAACTTATTTATTAAATCAATATTATATTAAATTAAATTATATTAACTTATACGTTTATTAATTCTCGTTTTGCGATTTCAAAGAAGCACACTCAATTTTAAAACAATTTATGTAAATTATTTATTAGTGAAATTGGAACTGCATGTATTACAGTAGTTCAAGGGTGAATTAATTAGGCGTATTAATTCTCATACGTGTTGAGATTGACAATTTACGATATCACGATATCTACACTGAGAGAAAATTTTATTTAATAGTAATAAAAAAGTTTATTTGGACTTGAAAAGAAAATTTAGTTAATAGTAATAAAATTATATTCCCTATGAATAAAATTTTATTAGTATTTAATAAAATTTTCTTAAATACTAATATGTGTTTTTAATACGAATATTAAGTTATTAAAACAAATAATTTCAAAAAAAAATTAATATTTATCAATTAATTATAATATATTCAAATATATTTTCACAATAAAATCTTTTAACAAATAAATAGTATAAAGATGTTTCAACGAAACATCCTAACCTAACCTCCTTGTTTATTTCCCCTTCCCCTTTATTAGCCAAATAAACGTTTTATTACATAGTAATCAAATTTTATTACTATTGAATAAAATTTTCTCTCAGTGATCTGAGAGAATATATTGAGTTGATCTGATTTTATCAACATAATTTATATTCACTACAGTAATAATTGATCCCTGAATAAAAAAAAGTATTGAGACAAAGAGAAAAGTATTGGATTGACTAGAAAACCAATACTTTTCAATACTTTTTCCTTCGTCTCAATACTTTTTTTTTTTATCAGGGATATTGATTCTTTGGAGGTTTTCAGTAAACACTAAGATGCTTAAATTTCATTATCGATTTTGACATATTTTTAATACATCTCAATAGAATATTCTTTTGAAAGTAATTTTATGTATATTCGTTTCTGTTATAGGTCGCTGTTTAAAACTTAATAAGTTTAACTTATGCTTATGAATTTTGAGTGGTTGTAAATTTAATAAAAATATTCAATAAAAATGTAAATATGAAAATTATTTTTTTCATACAGCATACTCATGTAGATATTTTATTATTTTATACTTTAGTTTGATATCAGTAATCCTCAATATTGTCACTAACTCTAGATAAAAGGAGGAGTATAATGAAGTATGCAAGCCAACAGTTCTGAAAGACCGGTTATATTCACCGGCTTCACTCGAAATGACGCATGCGTCCTCGTTGCAGCTATTCCATTTGTTAGTTTCATCGTCGAATGATACTTATGTTGCATTGGTGACATTTCAGCCAATAAAATTGCATTATATTGAAAGGCATTCCATTGATTGCGGAAGTATAAGTAAGTACAGTAGTTTTAGAATGTAAATATTTTAAAAATAAAGTAGCGTGAAATTATAATTTTTAAAGTAAAAATTGGTCAATTTTGGTAACAAAGTAATTACTGACTGTTATTTAACTCAATCAGATATTTTCAATTGTTGAAGTTGTTTACATGTAAACCCGGGTAAAAATGAAAATGTGTACGTATTTTAATCTAAATAATCTGTATTTGAACTTGACAATCGGTTTTTGTACTTTAATGAAAAGTTAAAAATATTTTTAATTTATCGTAAAAATATTTCTAATCGGTTTTTGAACTGTTTAAACTGTTTTTAAGCTATTTCGTCAATTTTAATCTATTTTTCGTCTACTATCTTGTGTAATACTTGTATTACGGAAGATTAAAACGAGACTAATTATGGAACTTAGAAAAAATTTTTCGTTAAAATTGTATTAGAACAAAACAAGACTAAAACTCATACTTAGCATATTTTGTTAAACATTATTAGCAAGTTAAAAAATTATAAGATTAAGTTTTGTTTTGCTCTTACAAAATTTTAGTGAAGAATTTTTTCTAAGAATAGCTATATTGCTCTAATATTTATTGAAGTGAATAGTGTGTGAGAGTGACGAGATGTTAGAGTCCTTGCAAAATAAAAATTTTTTTTTATGTTAAAGTTCTAAAGTAATAGAACATGTAGTTGTTTAATCAATTTGTTATTTTCGGAGCATAATTATAGGCTCTTACGTACAATCTTGAGAAAACAGAGGAATCATTTCTTCATCCCGATAAATATTTTTTGTCATATCAACTGCGAAAGTTGGATTTTCGAGCAACACACAGAGGGCGCAAAGAATACGATTTCTGACAATCTATAGTTTATAGATAATTTACCTCGCACTAGTATCGAAAAGTAACTTCTCTGTCTCTATCTGTCTCTGCATTTCTGCACGACTACGCTAAAATACGCTATAGACGAGTCTTATCGAGAATTAGTTCTATAGAATTATCTTTTAATTCGACAAACGTCCGCTGGGTGGAGTAAAAATCGCAATAAGAATCTTAGCGACAGTTGAATCTTGTAAATGTAAACAAGTTCAACATATACGTGCGTTTTATCCATCACTATTTAATATCGTGTGACATAATTCTTGTGCCTTTAAATAAAACAAACAATAATTGAACATTCTTGACTGTTCTCTCAAATCCAACTTCCGCAATTGATATGACAAAAAATTATGTTCGATACTTTACGCTCAAAGGTAGGGACCCTGACGAACTTCAAGTGAAAGCACATACGTTTGAAGCTATGGATACATTCTCATCAAGATCTCGCACTATACCCGGACGAGCCACGTTAATTTACACTCATACAAGTAAGGAAGCTCAAATCCATCACCGTCAAACGTAAATTTAACATTATCTTTAATCTGAATAAAGTTTATAATCGCGAAATGTAATTCATTACATAAACATTTATTGCCAGAACAATCGCAACCAGAAATTTTAACAAAATACAGAATTCTTGCAAAATGAAATGTTTCTTCTGATTTATATTAAACAGATGATGAATTTGTCCTTAATGGGCAACTGTATGATGTTGCATTATAAAGTAAACTATTCTTGAGCAAATGGAAGTATTTTCTGACAGTTATATTGTTATTCACCCATTGAAATTATTTAAAATATCTAACACTGCCTTCATCGGGCCTCGCATTGTTTGATTCTTGATTGTTTTCTGTGTACGAGTCATATGACTCACTGATAGATGGTTCATCCTCACTATCAATGTCACTTCCCGAAGATTCCGATTCAATTGGTTTTTGATGAATCGAATCCCCCCTATTATTTGAATTTATATTAATGTCCGTTTTTTCCACCGGACTGTCCGATTCACTGGCATTGGGCTTGTTTGCCGAAGTGGAATCGCTTTCCCGAGCTCGAACTATTTCACTGGAAGACTTGTTCCTCTCCGTCTGTTGGGAGATTTCTGGGTTCAAGTTGGACGATTCCAGGAGTTCTACCTTCTTTCGCGGCCTCCCTCACCCCCTCTTCGACGGTCCCACTATTTTTTCTGCAGGTTCTCTTCTAGCCGCCTCCGAGCTTCCTAAATCCTCCGTAACCCGCGTTAAACGTTGATTTTGTGCACGTGTCGTTACGTTTACCGGTTCTATTGGGTTACGCGATAACGCATCCGCGTTCAAATTGATTTTTCCCGGTTTGTATGTGACGTTATACTCATATTCCACGAGTTTTAGTCGCCATTTCAAAATCCGAGCGTTTCCTTCCTTTGAAGTTTTAAACCAGACCAAAGGTTTATGGTCTGTTACCAAATCGAATTTGCGACCATATACATACGGCCGAAAATTCTTTACTGCTTGAAGCATTGCCAATGCTTCTTTCTCGTACATGTCGTAGCGTAATTCCGCGTCTCTCAACACTCGAGAATAATAAGCGATAGGTTTATCTTTCCCTATTTCCCCTTGCGACAATACTGCCCCTATTGCTACTCCCGAAGCATCCGTAGTAATTATAAACGGCTTTGAAAAATCGGGGTACTGCAAGACCGGTGCAGTGCATAATGCTGCTTTTAATTCTTCAAAGGCAGTCTGAGCGTCCTCAGACCACACAAATTCGCTATCTTTTTCCAGCAACTTTGTCAGAGGTTTTGCAATTTTCGAAAAATTTTTAATAAATCTGCGGTAATAGCCCGTTAATCCTAAAAATTCCCTAATATTCCGTTGGGTCTTTGGAACTGGAAAATTTGTAACTGCTATTAATTTTTCGGGGTTAGGTTTCAACCCCTCTCGGCTTATAACATGTCCTAAGTAATTTACCTCCGGACGCAAAAATTCATATTTTTCTGGTTGTAATTGTGAATTCGCAGTACGTAACCTATCCATAAGATCGTCTATCCGTTGTTCGTGTTCAGCCAAATTTTCCGCGAAAACAATAATATCATCTAGATATACGAACATGGAGATTCCTTGGAGTCCAGTTAAAGCGCTATCCATCAATCTTTGGAAGGTAGCCGGTGCATTTTTAAGTCCAAATGGCATACGGGTGTATTCCCAGTGACCTTGTGGGGTTGAAAAAGCGGTCTTTTGACGGTCTTCGGGGTCCATTTCGATTTGGTAATATCCTGATGCCAAATCGAAGACGGAAAAGTATCGGGAACCTCCCAATTGGTCCAAAATCTCAACTATGGTGGGAAGAGGATAGGCATCGGTGATCGTTGTCTCGTTCAACTTCCTGAAGTCGATGACAACTCGCCACCTTTTGTTCCCCTTCGCATCTGCTTTCTTGGGAACAATCCAGATTGGACTGTTGTATGGTGACTCTGATGGTTTTAAAATCCCCATCTCAAGTCCCTCTTTCACGTGTTTTTCAACTTCCCCTTTTAAATTATGAGGAATCCTATATTGTTTAGTAGAAATTGGAAAATTTGAATTTGTTGGAATTCGATGTTTATAAAGAACGCTGGAACTCAAGGGTTCCCCTGGTATGTGAAAGCAATCCACGTGTTTCCTCACCAAACGTTCGACATGATCTTTCTCTGTATTATCCAAATAATCCATCCGAAGAAGGGGTTTAATTTGTTCGAATCGGTCCGAGTTCGACGTGTCCTTCAAAATGGTGAATATCCGTTTCTTGATTCCTAACTGCTGATAAATTTCTTGAATTGGTTCAGTTTGATTTGTCGTAGAAGGTTTAAACGATCTCTCCACCCCTCGTACAGTTAAAGAAGGTATTTTAATCCCAACTTCGGTGTCAGTTGTATTATAAACTTGAAGATAAGTCCGACCGTTATTTACCGTCACTAAACAATTTCCCGCGAAAATACCTTTGTCGATTTTTAAACGAGGAATATAACCCTCTGGAATTTCGGGATTCTTTACTTTAATAAAGAAGGTTGATTCGCTGCGACGCGGAACGTACATAACCCCATTTACTACTCTATTGGGTTTTTTAAACGGATATTTTTCGTTTCCAATTTCTAAAATTTGATTTTTATAGTCTATTTTTGCTCCATACTTGGAGAAAAACTGCGACCCTACTAGACCTGCATGTGGAATGGCTAAGTTATTTGGTACGACATGACACTCAGTCATTTTACCAAAAAGTTTCAAATTTACGCTTCCTAGAGTGGATATAGGTGTGCTCGAGATTCCATGTAGTTCGATAATATTACCCTTATCGATCTCACTATTTCCTTTTAAATATTTTATTTTTATTAGATTTGGAGCCGCTCCGGAGTCCAACATCATAATGATGTCATTTTGTTTAGACGATTTACCGACTACTGCAAAGGGTAAATTATCTAAATCTAAATTAACTTCAATTTTGGTTACTCGGAATCCTCTTCCACCCTTAAACTCCGTATTGTGTGTACAGGATGTGTGTTCCTCGTGTCTTCCCCCGCGCCCCCCGAAGAAGACTGACTCGCGTTTCCTTGAATAAAATTTATCGCTCTTAACATTCTACAATTTTCTGATGAATGATTGTTCAACCCACAAACTTCACAGCCACCTCCTGAGTTTCCGTTGTTGCTATTATTATTCCTGTTGTTAAACCCCTTTTGATTGTTAGATTTTCTTTGACCTTGACCGGAATTCGAATTTAAATTCATCCGATTTGGATTTAATTCACAGTATCTTGCCGAATGTCCCTTCTCACCGCACAACTGGCATCGTATATTGGAGTATTGGTTTTGATCCCCTCCCTGAGTTAATTGGGGGCATGATTTAGCATCGTGCCCTTTTTCATAACAAATTTGACATTTCCGATCCGGACAATCCCTCGCGTAATGGCCCATTTTCCCACAGCGCCGGCAAATACATTTAGAAGGGTTTGATTTGTTTTGTTTATTAGAGTTACTACTACTATTATTATTATTATTTGAATTCTTTTGACTCTGATTGTTATTAACCTAGCCTACGGAATCGGCATGATGACATTCGGTTATTTCGCGAGTTTTCTTCCTTAATCTATTCGCAAAGTCTACGACTGATTCGCCCTTTCCTTGAAAAATCTGGCCTAATTCACCCTGTAACTGGATTAAAGATTTTGACGCGACATAGGTTTTTTTTAATGAGCTCGTTAAGTTGGCGATCGTTTCTGGCACTTGATAGTTTAGTGAAGCTTTTACTTTGTCGTGCAATTTAACCCCGTAAATTAATTTGACAAGATTTGGTTCCGCTTCATTTGGCAATATATCCTTCGCTTCTTTGCAACATTTACAAAAATCGATTAATTCTTCTGAAGCTCCCTCAAATCGGGGAACGAACGCCAAGGCGTCGTTCAATGATATGCTCTGATTCGCGGCTAAAACCATTTCTTCTGAGTTTTCGATATTTGGGATTTCTTGATTTTGTTGGACGGGATCTTGACCTTCCCTGTTATCTTCGATTACCGGTTCGGGATTGATGTTATCGCGATTTTCCGGATTATTCGAGTTATTCGCTTTGGGTTCCTCAGTTAAAGTCGAATTATTGCCAATCGAATTAGAACTATTAGCACTGATATTTGCTACAGAGCCCGAGTCGGTTCCTTTCGGTGTTTCTTTACAAGGTTCTCCGTCCGAATCTTCGTCTGACGTAATTTCCCACTGCAAGGTTTGGCCTAAACCCGAGTCAACTGTTTTTTCAGCCTCCGGTTTATCCGTAAACTCGAATTTTTTGTCAACGCGCTTCCTAGTAGGCGGATCTAACCCTTCCGAAAACGGCGCGTCTCCTAGTTTTCTTAGAGAATAGCGGTTCTGATTCTCTTCATCAGACATTTACTTTATTAAATTTCTGATTTTAAACTTTATTCTAAATCGATAAGAGGGACCCAACCGGCTTTAGCTACTCCTAAAGATAGTCCCGGAGGTTCAGGATTTAAACGCACCCGATTAATTTTTTGTATCGGTTTGTTACCCTCACTGAGGTATTCCCAAATTATTAAAACTACTGCCTCTTTAATTTTACGATTGCCAATTATTTTTATCGCGTTTCTTTTCCTCCAGTATCTTCCCGACTAGAAATTATTTTGGGAATACCCAAGGTACCCATCTGGGCCCCATTGGGTTTCAATGGGGCATGCCCAATAGGGAAATCCCAATGAGGACCCAATGAGAACCCAATTGGGAATTCCCAATTAAAAAGGAAATAAGTTTATTGTCAATTTCTCTAGTTGGGATTCATGTAGGATTTAAATGGGAATACCCAACGTGGAAATAAAAAACTTTTGGCATTTTTTTCCAGTTGGGATTCATGTGGGACCAAAGTGGGAATGCCCAATGTGAAATAACAAAATTTTTACGAGTTTTCTTCTAGTTTGGATTCATATGAGACCACAGTGGGAATATCTAGGGTAAAAATGGAAAACTATCAGTTTTTCAATTCATCACTTGCAAATGCATTATGTGATTATTAGCATATATTTGCTGTAAATTAATTAGGAATACAAATAAAAATTAGCCGTTATAAGTATAGAAAAGAATAAGGAAAAAAATTAATTCAACATTGTTAAACAAAAACAATTAAATTTAGTTAAGCTTTTTCAAATTTTACATAACTTTATGTCTTAAAAAATTTAGTTTTACGAGATTAAAAATAAATTGTAACATATTGGGATGAATTCGAAAAAAATTTTAATCAGAATTAAAATTTAATCCCATCACTCGGAGTTTCGGAGTGAAGTAATTAAGCAATTCGCGCACGGAGTGAATCCGGAGTTTTTTAGCAGCGTCATCCCAGATTAATTTGGGATCAATTTCAGATTAAATCCAAATACTAAGTTGTTAGACTGAAATACATTTTTAATGTTGTTGAAACGAGATTCATACGTAAATTTTTTTCTTTTTACGACAAAAAAAAATTTTCACTGAAAAAAAATTTTTATTTTCAATATGTAAAAATTCAATTTTTGAAGAATATCCAACTTTTGAGGAGATTCACATTTGCAAAAGAATTTGCGTTATAAAAAAAATTAAAATTTTTGATAATGAAATTTTTATCCATATAGGAAAATTTGGTAATTACTTACAAGTGAGGTCAACCCAAACTAAGCTGTGTTAAATTTTTTTTT